TAAAATTGCCGAATGAATTTTATGCAGAGGGCGCCACCAATATCCAAGGTCGCAGAAACAGCAGTGCTAGCCCACTCGACGCCGCCAAATATACTAAGGCGCATGACATCTCCCCGGATCAGGTGCCTCGGGAAGGTGGTGGCCAGGAGGAGACAGATCCGGCTGTTCCTTGAGCTAGGCCCTGGTCGCACCACTCTCATGACGAAACTCGCGACTTTAGAGGCATAAAGAGACGGCCAGCCCACATAGTGGCGCTTGACTCCAGTGGGCTTTCCACCCCCGCCCCCCCCACGATCCACGCGGTTCTGTGTTCCAAGCGGGGTTGGGCGCAACGAAAAAAGTACCCCCGTATTTTTGTCGTTTTGGCCGAATGTAAGGCGTAAGTAACAGGTTAGGTAAGTCGCTGCGTCCAACCCGGGGGAGCCTCAGTCACTTCCAAGGGGGCTGCCAACCCTCGTGGGGTAGAGAGTCAGGGCAGTTTTTTCGCTTCCCAACGTCGCTGTGACGCCAATCAAACTACTACCCAGCAACACAGTGGGCAACTTGAAGTGCACCGCCCGGCAATGTGGACTTCAACGTTCGGTGTTGCCGTGGCAGCTAGGGGCCCGGGGCCCGGGTATCTCTCTCTAGGACGGACACTTCCCTTACCTGGCAGGTGCCCTCACTGCGCATTAAGTGGCGGTGTTGCCTCAGGCGCTCGATTTGAGAGCAAAATCGCCCTCATTTAGCCCTGGTGAGCCAGCTCAAGGCCGGGACCTCGAGGAAAGTAAACAAAGCTGCGCCTGCAAGATGAACGAGGAGGAGGACGCCTGGGAGGGTATATAGAGGAAGAATCGGAGATTCAGTTTCTTGAAGACCGACAGCACGCGCGAGGATCATGTCATAGATCTCACTGATGTGGCCAGGGTTCAGAGACCAAAGGAGACCAAACATGATTGGTCCCTGTGAAAGATAAGTGCAGTAGCTCCACTCACCAGCGTAGTTGAGTAACTTGGCACGGAACAGACGGCAAAAAAAGCCGGCGTCGTGGGCAGCACCGTAAATAAAGCAGGCAGTTGGAGTGGCATACACCTATGATTGCAGAGTGTCAAATGCTAAGTACGCAAAATCGGCACGGCAGCAGACGGCGAGAACCTTGGGAATTGAGACAGTAGCTGGAAGCATGACTGCAAGGAGAGCGAGAGCCTATTCAAGTTGGTACGAATCATCTAATCGCATGTTGATATCGGCACAGAATAAGGCAAGAAATGCAGCATCCGACAAAGAGGAGAGGCGACGACGGTGATAATCTCCGTTGTTAGCAAGGCCTCGAGCCAGCTGGTGGCCACACCAACGCACAGACTCTTCGCTATCTTGGAGCAGGTCTTGTCGGTTGAGGACGGCGAGATTGGCAGGCTGCGTGGCAGCTAGGCCGAGTAGGATGCCCTGAATAAACTCAAATGCTCGAATAGGTGGTGACCTGATTGCGCCAAAGCAATTATGAATGACACGCAGGAAGCAGGTTCAAAAGACAACGCCAGTTTACGTATATGCCACGTCTCCGGCCAAGGGTGGTGATGAACCTAGAGACTCAAGGGAAATCGAAA